AATAATAATATAATAACTATGTCTGTAACTTCTGTAAATGGGCACTTTAACATTTGCCCTACACGCAGATGCTGGGCAAGTCTTGTTCTGGACAATTTGAAACTATGCCTGAGTCACCTCCTCCCTCATTATTCCCCTCTCACTCCAGGAGGACTCTCCCTTCTGGGATTGTGCTTTTCAAAAACAAACCAATCAATCCAGAGTCCGCACCCCAACCATCTCCTTTATCACATTCTCACATTCTGGACCACTATACACCTGCCCTAATAACCCCAGGGCCAGGTACCAGACAACAAGGGACAGCCCCTCTACCATAGAGATCACTGAAATTACTCAAATTAGCCAAACTGGCCTGCTTGTCCTGCCTCATGTTTTCCTTCCTGCAGAAGCCACAGTAAACGCCTAGCCCGTAGTTGCCTCCTCTCTCCTCTCTGCTTCATGATTGACCCGGATGTGTCCTCACGTGGCCCCATGAGGCGTGGTATGCCTCCTCCTTTTACACTGTGCATAATAAACCATCTTTTGGATGGCAATCATTTCCTGATCTGTAGGCCTTACTACACTTCAAATTTTCCATTAATATAATATATTTTAAGTAAAAAAATAGGCCAAGAATTTGGATATATTTCCAAAGCAGATATGCAAAGGACCAATAAGCACATGAAAGGATACTGAACAACTTTAGTCGTTAGGAAAATACAAATCAAAACCACAGTGAGATTCTACTTCACAACCACTAGGGCTGCTATAGTCAAAAATGAAAACAATAACAAGTGTTGGCACAAAATTGGAATCCTCATACATCACTGGGAGGAATGTAAAATGGTGCTGCCACTGTGGGAAAGAGTTTTGCAGGTCCTTAAAATGATAAGCACAGAGTTACCATATGACCCAACCTTGAATGTCTTACTCAATATTATCAAATTAGTCCATTTCTCTGTATCTGCCCCAAGAGAAGTGAAATTGTATGTCCACACAAACACTTGTACATGAATGTTCACAGCAGCATTGTTGATAATAGCCAAAAAGTAGAAACAACCCAATGTCCACCAACTAACGAATAGATGTATGTTGTGTCCCTACAATGGAATATTATTCAGCCATAAAAATTAATAAAAGATTGATACATCCTACAACATGGATGAATCTTAAAAACATTGTCCTGAGTGAAAGAAGCCAGTTACAAAAATGATCATATATTATATGATTCCACTTACTATGACTGGAATAGACAAATCTATAACCGAAACAGAAAGCAGATTAATGATTTCCCAGGGAAAGGGAGAAGGAGTGACTGCTAATGGATTTCTTTCTGGAAAGAAAAAAATGTTGTAAAATTAGCTTGCTGTGATGGTTGCCCAATGCTGTGAATTTACTAAAATATGAGTGTATCCTTAAGTGGATGAATTGTATAATCTGTGAATTACATCTCACTATAGCTGTTAAAATATCAAAAGAATAGAGATTCCTTTGACTTCCAAGGGAAAATAAAAGTTTCTAGCTAGACATTAATTTGATGGGCATTTGTTCATAAGGGAAGAAATATGACCTAACAGGGGAGCCAGGGGGTCAAAATGAGGGCGCAGTTGACTCTCTTCACTTTGTTAATTCATTGAAGTGAACTATTTTTGAAACTGTGAAAAAACTCAAGGTAAGAACTCAATACCATCTAATGAGTACATTTTTATTGTATTTATCATAATCACAGTTGCTATTGCATGTGCATTGTTAATAGCTCACTTTTCTGTGGGCTTTGCTATTTCAGTTGGCTCTAAAAGTGTCTTAATGGTATTATAAAGCTGGGCAGGATGATTAGCCCATTTGCAGACAATGTGCCTATTTGAGGAGGAGAGGAAAGAAAAGAAGAAGAGAGAAGGGAGGGAGTAATAGGAATAGTAATAACTTAATAACTCCGCTAACATTCTTTATTAGGATTTTCTATGCTTTGGAAACCACCCAATGAGTGAGATATTTGGCAATTGATGCTGGGACGTGGGGAAAATGGAATCAACCAAATCACTGGTAACTTCAGTGACCAAATTTAAAACATAATCATTCTTCTTTTTCCCTGATGACTGTTTACAAATGTGTAACTGTATTTAAGAGGGTAATTAGACATTAAGTAATTTGATTTTTATAATAATGGAGAAGCTACTATTTCACATTCATTTATGGATTATTGTGTTCTCAAAGACATTTTTGAAGAGCAATGGATGCATCTGAAATGTCAGTTGAGTAACACTATAGAAAGTTCTCATAGGGCTGCTTCCCTCTAAGTAGAAATGCTGAAGATCTTTCTAATAAAATTTCAACTATGTTTCAATTTACTTGCGTGGAGAGTACAAGTATATTAATAAATCAAATGAAGATTACCAAAGTTGTTTAGGTATGTGTTTGGAAGAGCATCTAATAATCAAAAAGGGGAAACCAACTAGATTGGGCACAGGTGAATTTCACTTAAGGCAGTTAAAAAGTTTACTAACTGCATTGCTGTGAAGCGCATCACAATTTCAAAGAAATCTTCATGCCTAGTTACTTGGGATGTATTCCTCACATTCCAGCTTTATGTTTTTCTTTCCTGTTCTCACCCAGCTTCCCTAAAAAATGGGCAGAGATTGTGTGGAAACACTCTAGCATGTATTAATATTTAAGTTTGAGATTCAGAAACAGGTTATACTGTCATAGCCTATCAGAATTTTCAGAAGAGATGGACAGATAAGGTATAATTTTAAATTTTAAAAATATATTATATGTTATAATTTTATATGGGAAGAGGAAAAAAGACTATTGTTCTCATAAAAGAAACAATATAGACTAAAGCTTATCAATATCTTACTGACCAGGGACACTGGGACTCTTTCACAAAGAAAACACTCTTAGTTCAGGATATCGGGAGGTATGTTCATGAAAGTCTCAGTTTCATCTAAAGGGGATAATGTCTTTAAAAGTTCAGAAACGTTGACTTAAATAAATTACCTCAATTTATCAATACTGTAAGTTTGACTGTAAGTTTGAATTTTCAGAAGTCTTTTTGTTTTTCTTCAAGCATATGTAGGCAGAAGATATATATGTATGCATAGACACATATTTCTGTCATATACATAATATTAATAATTTAATTGACAGAGAGTTTTTTAAGCTAACTCAAAACAACTGACCTCTCTATATTTCATGTAAAATATTTCCTACAGCATATGGTATTATGATCATTTAAGAATATGTTAGACAAATCATTTCCATTCCTTCTATTGAGGAAGTGTATCTGGTTATTAGGAGACATTTCCAGGTTAAAACATGAGTCAAAAAGACATTTGAGTCCCTGTCCTATTGAACTGCTTATATCTGGTCAGAACAACATCTGAAATAATCAGACAGGTGAGACTCAATGAAAAACTCTTCAGAAAATAGGCCTATTTCCTCAACCACGGCTAATAGCCTCTACAACCTAAAAATTCTCCTTATACTTAACAGGAATCACTGTTCATATACTGCATTTGCAACCCACTTTATTTTATTCTCTTTTCATTTAAAATAGACATTTATTAATTTGCCACCATCTTTCAAATAACATTTTTATCCCATCTCATATTTTATTAAACTTTTAGAATTAAGGAAATGCAAAAAAAAATCCTATTAAAATCTTATTGACTTTGGCCAAACACCAGACATGGGTTCAAATCTAAGTTCTTTACTTATTGCATGTGTTACTATTAATCAATTTCTTTGTTATAAATATGTGTAGTCACATCCATTTCACAGGCTTACTGAAAGGTTTAAATGAGACAAAGCAAATGAAGTGTCTGCTACATCATGAGCACTCAGTAAATGATAGCTCATCAATAGTATGGATCAAAAATGGTAAGGATGTCATAGGTTCTCTCTGCTCTCTCTCTTCTCATAGGTGAGAGAGTGAAACCTAGGAATCAGGCAACTCGTCTAAAGTCTCCCAGCTCAATGGTGAAAGTGAATACTACAGTCTCAGCCTCCCAGCTCCATCCTTCACCAGCATTCCAGGGTTCCAATTTCACATAAGAAAGATTCCACATTCCTTAGCCAGCTGTAAGGATCCTAAGTGAGCCCTGCCTACCTACCTATCCTGTCGTTCAGCCCTCTGTCCCCTAATTTGCAGATTACTGTAAAGGTTCATGGAATTTGGAAATCTCACAGGACTCCTGGATGAGCCCTCCTCTAGAAACTCTTCTGCTGTCCTCCTTCCCCGGGTGGAACTGCTCACTCCCTCCTCCGTGTTAGCCTGCGTTCTTTTTTCTCTGGTAGCCCTGTGACTGCAGGGCGCTGGCTTGCTTTGATGTCTGCGTCTCTCTATTAGAAAGTAAGCTCCTGTGAAAAAGTACAGTTGGTAGCACTTCGGCTTCGGCTTCTGTTTCCACCCCGAGATGATACCAGTGGAGAAAGGCGGGGCAGTCTGGAAGTGATTGCTTTTGTTGCGAATATTTGAAAACGCTGGGGGTGTTCCAGTAAGGTCCTCTGAACAAATATGTATCTCTGAACATCATGGGAGGTAGGGGCCTGCGTCAAGAATTCAAATAAACTTTGGAGAGGATTCAGATGATAAATATTTGCTCTCTGAGGAATAAAATTGTTCTATATATATTATGCTCAACCGGGGATTTCATCTGCTATTTGTTTACTTTTCATCATATTCAGACTTATTCTAATTGTTATTACTTTACTTTTATCTTTAATAAACACACTGCTTTTAAATACTCCTTGTGTCTGTAACTGAAAAAGAATACTTATTTCTTGGCAACCTACATAGATGCGTACTCTAAATCTCTGACCTATTATAGATATATATCTCAGGCTACTTGGTAGCTGATCCACACAAGCTTTGTTTATCCTTAGGAAAGTCTCTTTATTCTTCATACCTCTCTCTCCCTCTCTCTCTCTCTCTCTCTCTCTCTCTCCTTCTCTCTCTCTTTCCTCTTCCTTCTCCCCCCAACGCACACAGTCCCGGTTAGTATCTTTCTCTTCACTCTCTTGCAGTGCTTCTGAGCTACGACAGAGTGAGTGACAGGAAAAAAGAAAAAAACTAACAAATACCAAAAGAAAGTACAGTATGACATGGGATAGAAAAAAGGAAAAAGAAAAACTTTAAGCAAAAATGAAATATGAGTGAGTGGCAGGACTAAATTATGAGATATTGTCACGGATCCAAAAAAATGTTCGAAAACAGACCAAAAATAATATAAATGTTTGGCTGTGAATTAAAGGCGGAAGGAAAATCAAGGATGTGTCAAATATATCAAAATGCCTTCTTTCCCCAAAAGGTAGATGGACAAATGTCCATAACCTCTGCTCCAAGTCTATATAATGTATTCGAGTTTGTCTGTGTGTATGCATTTTTCTGATAATTTTTGCTATCTGGAAAATAGTGAATTAAGGTAATCAAAACATTCTTAAAGAGATATCATGCTCAGATGCTTTTTTCATGGAGTAATTATTAGATCCTCACTCAGGACCCAAATTAAGCAAGTTAACAATGTATTGCCTTTTCGAAATAATCTTTAAGCAATATTCATTCGAATTTATTCAGTGAAGACAGACACCAATTTTCTATTAATAAATATTGAATTTGGCCAGGCGCGGTGGCTCACGCCTGTAATCCTAGCACTCTGGGAGGCCGAGGCAGGAGGATTGTTTGACGCCGGGAGTTCGAGACCAGCCTGAGCAAGAGCAGGACCCCATCTCTACAAAAAACAGAAAAAATAGCCAGGCCTGGTGTCACACACCTATAGTCCCAGCTACTCAGGAGGCTGAGGCAGGAGAATCACTTGAACCCAGGAATTTGAGGTTGCAGTGAGCTATGATGCACCCTGCACTCCAGCCTGGGCGACAGTGTAAGACTCTGTCTCAGTAAATAAATAAATATCAAATTCATGTATAGATTTGCTTACTAATTTACTTCCAATGACTGAAGTAAAAAAGGCAAAATGTTCTCTAATTCTTGAGGTTTACATTTCACCCTTAGTTCTCTCTTCTAAACCAGGTATATTTCGGGAAGTAGCATAGTAAATTGATTAAAATTTAGAAAATAAGGAAAATCACTTGTTCTCAGCAAACAGCACTGCACAATCATCATTTTGTTTCAGAACTTTAACTGCTAGTGACTGCCAAATTCAGGTGACTGTCTACTAGCTAGCTTCAGAACTAGCTGGCAAGGAGTGTTTTTTGGGGTTTTTTTGTTTTTTAAAAATTTTCATTCAGGGCATCGCCACTTTGGTGGGAGCAGGACCAATATTCATTTTGCCAATAATATAAGGAATTGCTTGCGGAAATCTGAGTTTTTTGGCACCCTGTATTTGATTTATACTACTGAAGTTTTAGTGCCCCTTACAGATTAGCACCCCTGGTGAGAACCAGCTGGCCCTTAATCCAGCATGTCCCTCGCTCAGAGAGCATTTGCTATTCAACATCGTGCTGGACTTCATAGCACACTAGACAAGAAATAAGAGGTGTAAGCATTGGAAAGGAAGAAACTAAATTGTCAATATCCTCAGATGCTATGATTAAAGAGAAAAATCTACAAGAACAACTACAGAGTTTAGCAAGGTTGTAAGATTCATGGTATTCCCATACACCATCAACAAAAAAGGATTAAAACTAACAATATAAGACATTTAAATTCAAAATTATGCAAAAGCTATAATGCACCTACGAATAAGTGTAACAAAATATATGTAAGATAGTCATGGAGAAATTGAGAAATTTTATTGAAAGACATAAAAGAAGATTCACCTAAATAAAGTGGCTCATGCACGAGGATATGAACACTCAATATTTTAACAGTATACATTGTTTCCAAATTCATCTGTGCACTTAATACAACTCCAAACAAAATCCTGTCTTTTTAAAATGGAAATGTACTGATTGTAAAATTCTTATAGGATAGCAAAGGCTATCCCAAGAATGGAAAGACAAGCACCACATGTACTCACCATCAAACTGGTATTAACTGATCAACACATAAATGCACATATAAGAATAACATCTATTCGATGTTGGGCAGGGGGGAGGGGGGAGGAGGGGACCGGTATTTTCATACACAAAGAGTGCAATGTGCACCACCCGAAGGATGGACATATTTGAAACTCGGACTTGGAAGGGAGGGGGGGCAAGGGCAACATACGTAACCTAAACATCTGTACCCCCATAATATGCTGAAATTAAAAAAAAAAAAAACAACAACAAAGAAAAAGAAGAGCCAGTAATTTAAAAGAAAAAAAATAAGAAGTTGGCACAAACTCTAAGAGTCATCAAAATATTTTATAAAACTATGCTATGTAAAACTGTGTGATATTGCAATAGAAATAGGAAAAGGAAATAATTGAACCAAATTAAAGAGCTGTGGAAGAGTCCCAAGTGTAAAAAGGAAAAAAAGCTCACAATGGAAGGGCACTATGTATCAGTGAGGGAAAAGATGGAACACTCGATAAATTTTGAAATTGTGCAGTCAGTTGTTTTTTCATCATAGAAAATTGAAATTAATTTTTCTCTTCCAATTCTCAAAAGTACATTCCAGATGGATAAATATCTCAATGTGAAGAGTAAAACTTTAAAACATCAAGAAAAAATGTATAGACTTAGGTTATGACCTCAGGGTAGAGAATAACTTTTGAAAAATGCATACAAAGCACAAATCAGAAAGAAAAGTATTGTTAAGTTTGATGATACTACAATAAAAGTCATTTTTTCACATAGACACACAAAACCAAAAAATCCCACAGACTGAAAGAAGATATCCGCCATGCATACAACCAACAAAGATTAGTGTACAGAATATATTAATAAATAAATGTCTACAGATCATAAGCAAAAGGAAATCAGCCAAAAAGAAAATTTGGCAAACTATACGAATATTCGGTTCACTGGAGAAAAAAAAACCATGGGCCTAACCAACCTTTGGAAGGTCCTCAGCTTCAATGCACACCAGGCACAGTGGGTGGTATGGGTTGACTCACTCATCTCCATTCCCCCCTTCCTATCTAGACAAATGAGAAGGGAAAATGCTAAAAATACATGTCTAGACCCACTAGCCATAAGGATTCCAGATGCAAATTAGGTCCTGTCTATCAGATGGACTCAAGGGAGGTTCACAAGGCAGAGTAAAGAGGAGGCCATTTTTTCCCTGCTCCCTTCAGCTGTTTTTGCAGGCAAGCAGGTGGAAGAAAATGCGACCTGCCTGCAGCAGGCTTCCAACATCCATTCTCTGGCTGCCTGGTTTTTGAGAGGCATTTGCAGCTGATGTATCAGTAGAAGGAACTTCTTGATTGTGGTTTTATGGTCACTGGTTGGCAGCTGTGGTTCCGACTCGTGATTTCTGGCAGTAGCCTGAGAATGGGTAATTCTGGAAGGGCAATTCTGCTTTGCTCTGTTATCCCTGAAGGGCTACCCTGAAGGTTGCTCTCCAAATCTTCCAATAACTTTGTAAGCTCTCAATTTCTGTCTTTAATCTCTTCCTACTCAATATACCTAGAAAGTCTTTTTTGGTTCTTCCCTGAACATTGACTGATACAAGAGATGCAGCCCATTTCGCAGCCATCCTAAGAAAAAAAATTTTTAAGTCTGATAAAAACCAAGCATTAGTCAGGAGACCCGGAAGTAGTGGTGAATGAGAGAGCTAGCAATTATAATTTTTAACATTAAAAAGAAAGGGAACAGGCAATAAAGCTTACTAAGGACATACGTTTGAGATCCAGATGCACGATCGTCCAAATCATTGCTTTCCCACTTGCCTTAGCAAGTCCCTTTATCCAAATCTCAGTGACCTCCGCTCTAATGTGTAGAAAATATCTATCCATAATGTCAAGAGTACATAATTTATATAATCATACTCCTACCAGTTGAATTTCAGCTTGCTTTTGATTTTCTGTTGTTAAAGTTAGCACTTCAATAACTTCAGACATAATGCTTTTTCTTTTCCCTCTGGAGAGAATAAAGCTAAATATCGATAAGGGAAAACCTTGGGATCTGGAGCTTCACTAGGGAAAAGATTTAGGATAGTATCCTGACGT